ACAGTAGGCTGAAAAGCCATCCCCAGAGTGTTCGTGGTACACTGGGAGGGCAGGTTCAGAATCTGTACTGGTCAATATTTGTGCCAGTGATGTGGACCACAGGGGATGTTTATCACTCTGTGGATGACAAAGGTGAGGGAGGAGGAAGAGCCTAGATGTCAGAAGGTATAATTAAGACTTGATGAGATGGATAGGCAGAAACAATGGTCTAAAGTTAATCAAGTAAAGTCGTAAAAGGATAAATTTTAAACCTTGCTGCTTGGTTCCAAAAACCCAGTGGCACAAGGAGCTGATAGAGAAAACCAGGCTTGATGGTAATTCAAGGGAAAAAGGGTGGTACACACAATAAATTAAAGACAACACCATAGCCAAAAAGAGTTTAAGGCAATTTTGTTGTTGTTGTTGTTATGTGCCGTCGATTCGGACCTGATGCATAGCGACCCCCCTTGGGTTTCCGAGGCAGTATCACTACGGAAGTAGATTGCCCCATCTTCCTTCCGAGGAGTGGCTGGTGGATTTGAACTGCCAGCCTTCTGGTTAGCAGTCAAGTGCCTTAGGCACTACGCTACCAGAGTTCCCAAGGCAATTTTAGGTTACATTAAAAGAAATGTCTGGAAAAGAAAAAGTATCTGAAATAAAATAAACATGAGTCCCATGTCAGTGATGAGGTGACATCTGGTCCACTTGGATCAAGTCTGGGAGCCCATTTTAAGATGAACTTTGGCAAATTGGAAAGGCCTGGGGGTCATGTGATCATTGGAGGCTTGGCAGAAAGAGAGGTGGGAGAATATGAATGGTCTTCAGATGCTCCTTGAAAAGGAATTGGGTTTATTCCATGGACAAGTTGAACCAACAGGAGGTGATGGGCAACCAGATATCCACTCAATAGAAAGCCTAGTCATCAGTATTGCCCCACAAAACACATACTGGGGGCTGCCTGTGAGAACCTGAGCCCACATGCAGTCCTTGCAAATGCTAAGGCGAAGACTAGACTGGCCACCTGGCCAGAGGGGAGACTCAGGAGGGTGTAAACAAAAAGGCCAAGAGTGAGGAAAACTGGGTTCAGGTCTTCTATGGTTATAGCTGTGTAACCTTGGGCAAGTCAGTTCCCTTATCTAGGCTTCAATTTCCTCAGCTATGAAAATGTAATCATCAACTTTCAACTTTTTGTGGTCACTAACCAAAACCAAATCAAACCCATTGCCATTAAGTCAGATCCGACTCACAGTGACCCCTTTGGGTTTCCAAGGCGGTATCACTACGGAAGTAGATTGCTCAACCTGCCTTCCGGGGAGTGCCTGGTGGGTTTGAACCACCAGCCTTCTGGTCAGCAGTCAAGTGTCTTGGGCACTACACCACCAGAGCTGGCCACTAGGAAACAAAACAAAACAAAACAAAGAAACAGGTGCCATCTGAGTCCACTCTGACTCATGGCAGCTCCACATGCGTCAGGGTAGAACTGTGTCGCACAGGGTTTTCACTGGCTGATTCTTCAGAAGGAGGTCGTCAGCCCTTTCTCCTGAGGCACCTCCAGGTGGAACTGAATCACCAACCTTTGTTTGCAGCTGAGCGTGTTAACCATTTGCATTGCCCATAGACTCCCTGGTAGTCAGGAACTCTTTAAGTGAAATTTCTTACCTCCAAATACAGACATGCAGGGTGTTAATAGTGGACATCTCCTCACTGCAGGAGCCAAGGCCTCCTGGACCGCTGCTGCAGGGATCCTGGGGATCATTTCAAAAGCAGTTGATCTTTTAGCTCTAAAGCTGTATGATCCTCTAGGGTTTCTTCTTTCCTTAATTTTTATGATTGTACAGAATCAAGCCCCTCATTTTATGGATGAAGGGCCTAAGATTTATGGCTGCTTAGTGGCAGAGCTCGATGAGGCCAAACTCCCAGTGTAATCCTGTGCTCTTTCTACCTCACCAGGCTGCTCCTGACTTCCACCCATGATTTGTCTTAGCACTGGTTCTCCCGAGATGCCAGGCAACCCTGGGCTTCCCTCTATGTACATATTCTTCACCCCTCAAAAAAGCACCAGGAAGGTAATAGTTCTGGTCTAAGGCATTGTAGCCATTGACAATGATCCCTGGATTCATTTCTGTTTGTATTATGTTATCTCAGTGGAATAATACTGCTAGGCTGAAGAGAGAAGCAGAAAACAGGGATTGTCTAGACTCCTGGTTGCCCTCCAACATCTATTCTCTCCTTCCTTAGTAACTAGAACCCTTTATTTTTAGATGCCCGCCCAAAATATATTCCCTAGTCTTTCTTACAGCTAGATACGGCACTGCACTGTGTTCTGGCTGATGGGCTGTAATTAGAAATATCATGTCTGCATTATGGAAATGGCCCTTTAACAGGAGTGAATGTGCCCTTTTCACCCTTTCTCCATGATGGCAGGACCCCACGGTGGAAACCGCATGTAGAGGATAGTGGAACAAGATAGTTAAGAGCTTAAGTCCCTGATGACCTTGTGAAGCCACCTGGCAAGCCCTTGACTGCTTTCTTCCAGTCTTTCAGAGGAAGTAAGCTTCTATTGTTTATGCCACAATTACCATTTTTCATAGACTCTGTCATTGATTGTAATACATAGCATGATTTTATGCAATTCTAAGAAAAACCACTGCCAATTAAATGGACACCCCCATCCAATTATATGATACATTCCACTTTCAGAGAAGTTACAAAGTGACAAAAATACGAGTCTTATTACATGATATGCAGTATTTTGGGCTTTGTTACTCACAGTCAACTCTAATCCTGATTCAGGAAACATGAAGGAATGAACTTCTAAATAAGGAACACAATTGTCTTGTAGTGGGAAGCACACGTTTCTATATAAAAAAAACGACTCATGAAGATAGTAGTGACACACAACTCAGTTTGGCAATTTTTTTCTGATTTTTTCCCAGTCTGCTTTGGGTTAACCCAGGGAATTCTATATGGCTATTGAAATTTGGCCATCAGTGGGATGAGACTGGGATGAGTGAGCTGGTTTTAAGAAGTCACAGGGACAAAGCTGATTGCGAAGTCAATCTCTGTTGTGTACTATTTGGCCTTCAGGGGCTGTGACTCCTCCTTAAACTCTACCGGGTCCTCCTCGCTGACTCTGAGAACAAATGGGCAGCTGCCACCAGAAGCAGCTGATGATGATGAGTTTGCAGGTGATGGCCTTTCCCTGCACTGGATGCTACTATTGCTTTGTGATGCAATTCAAGCTCTGGTCCGGTTCAAGGGGGAATACCTTTGGCTCTCAACAGTCCATTGTTAACATACCTCTTGTGATAAATCATCAAAGGCCCATATGTCAAACAAAAGGAACTCTCCCTTATCTAAAAGTGGGTACAAGATGAAGCATTTATTATTCTGTGAGTCATTAAAGCAGGGTCAATTTCACATGTAAGGTCCACTTGTTTTTAAACACAATCATCTGAGTATTTTAAGTGATCATTTCTCCTGTGACTGCTTCTTGAATCTTTCCAAAATCCAGGAGACCTCAGAGGTTTTGCCGACTCTACACTCTGACTACCATTTGTTGTCTGTCTACTCTTGTGACAAGCGTTTTACATCTATTATTTAATATACCAATCCCACAGGGTAGGTAACATTCTTATAGATAATATAAGCTCAGAGAAGTTGACTGACTTTCTCATAACACAGCTAGTAAGTGGGCTCTGAATTTAGGTTGGTAAGAGCTGCCATTGTAATTAAGTTGTTAGATACTAACTATTCTGGTTACCTAGTGCTGCTCTGACAGGAATATACCACAAGTGGGATGGCCTTAACAAAAAGGAGTTTATTCTCTTACAGTTTGGAGGCTTTAAGGCCAAGTTCAAGGTGCCAGGCTCTAGGGGCTGTGTGAAAGCCCCTTGACCCCAGGCTTCAGCTCTGCCTCTTGTTCCCGGCCCACTGAAGCTGGAGGCATCTCTTCACTCAGGCAGCTGCTGGCTGCCGAGGCTGACAAGCCCAAGGTCGACAGATAAAATGACACAGTCCTGATGTTATCAAACCACATGCCAGGCCACTCATTCAAGTCCACTGAAAATCCTAAGGTTGGCAGCCTGCTGTGCGACGATACCACTACATGCAGGGTTCAAGTGTGCCATAAACTCGAGACGGTTCTCCAAGCCTTCTTCTTATATACAGGAAGCAGACCACCGCCCTAAGGCAGCTGCTCACAATAGATTCCACCATGGAGCTGATTACCAGTCTCATCATAGGGAATACTATATCCAGCTGCCCAGCCACTCAACCAGGCCCAGCCAAGTTGATACACAATCTTAACCACCACAGGTACTGTAGTAGTCCTTCAAGTTTCAGGAAACATGTAAAGTTCTGTTGAAGAATATTTTGGGTTATCTCCTATTCAAAAGGTCTACTGAGTACTGAAGACTTGTGACCATTCTGAAGGAAAGCTTTCCCTAAAAGAGACAACTCAGGCAACTGTTCCAATGGCCTGTTATAACCTGGCAACATAAGAATCTGTCAATGATGGAGGTGCAAAGGGATTCCAATGGGACAATCCCACTGCACAGGAGATGGACTACTGTAGGGCTCAGTGCCTGCTCCACATGAAATATGTTACACTTTCATAAGGACTTTTTGCTGAAGCAATATCTAATAATAAATTTTTAAATTATTTTTTAGAAATTTCCTGCTCATTTTAATTCATCTATGTATTTTCTTAGAAAAAAATTTCTCTATAAATCGTTATTTAATTACTACCTTGCCAATATTTATATATGTTACGACTCATTGCCAGAATTTCTTTTATGTATGATTTCATCTTCTACATCTAAAAACAGCTCAGCAACTAACAGTACTGATCCAATTCTTATGTGCCAGGTTCCAATTCCTTCTGGGTTCAACAAAGTGGAAACCCTACCAAAATGGTTTCTTCAAGACTGAAAACCAGTACAACTTAGTTGGCCTTCACATCCAAACTTCTTAAAATTTTTCCTCAAGTACCCAAACATAAAAGACACCAGGCTAAATTTCTTTTAAATTATTTTATTTCTGTGTAAGCTAAAAGGAAATTTACACACTGGAATCTCCAAAGACCTTTGCATGCACATTAACCTTGTTAGAGGTTCTTCTACATGTCTCTCTTTTTTCCATAGGAATTTCCCCAAACATTTAAAACCCATAGTTTTTACTGTGTATATACAGCCTAAACCATAGCAATCTATGATTATGTCATTTTACACTGTGCAAAATCCTCAAAAAATAGTGGTACAATAGAACAACAAAAAAATCAGTAACAAATTTTCATTGTAAGACATTCATATAATTTGGTCCTTCTCCAAATAAAACTAATTTAAAACAGACACAATCTCTTTAAACCCCTCCAATCAAGTTCTGACAATGATCCATACACACCCTATAACAAAAGACCAATCAATGAAAGTACCTTGTAAAAGGTCAAGCAGCAATATGCCAGATTGAAAAGATTAAAAAAGAGCCCAAAAACGTTAACCAAAGCCAAATCTGAAACAAACCCACTAGCACAAAAAGAAAAAAACTCAAACAGGGACTTTCGAACCTCTTTATGATACCAAAAATTCAACAAATGGTATGAAAAATTAATAGGACACTCAATGCAATCTGAGAAGACTGAAGGGGATTTCGCAGACAATGGAGATTGGAGTTTTTAATTTTCTTTTTTTTTTATTTCAAAAGTTTCGTAAGAAGGACACCACCAGTGTTTTTCACAAAGACATAAATGTATACACCCCAGCAACACAAAAAGAATAAATTCTTCAAAAATGTTCACCCCTGATTATTTACATTTTTGTCTAATATAAATTTAGGACTTCAGTATGTAAATAAATATACATTACTATGTATACCTTTCTAGTGAGGCTTACCAACAAATCAGCTGAACTTGGAGTCTTTTATTTGTTTTTAATTACAGCAGGTATGCTTTTGATGGTGGGGAAGGGATGGAGAAAAGGAAAACCAATTGAAACTGCCCAGTTCACATCAGTTAGCAGTCTGTCTTCTCTTGGGAGCTTGTGGAAGGTGTTAAAGTGGCTGGGAACATCAACACCTTGGCATGCATGAACGTTAAGTCAGGAAGGCTGGCAATCACCTTGATGGCTTCCTCACTTAAATGCTCTTCTCTTTTAGGTTTCCTATGAACAAAGAAAAAGGACAAGTTCTGTTAATGAGATTCCACTGTAGGTCAGATGGGAGAAATTCTACCCACCAGTTAGGCAGTTGGTAACCCATGGGGACGTGAGTTCCCTTTCCTCTGCCAGCTCCCCAGCCTTGCAATGCCTTTGTGTCTGCTTCCTGTTCCAGATGCCAAATCTCTTACGAAGAAAGATGCACACCCTATTTATGAATATTCACTGAAGGGAATGGGTATACAAAACACAAGTGTAAAAAGCTTACAGTTTTACATTTAAGGTTGAAGCCTTTCCAACCCATACCGACTCCCACTTGGTTTCTGAGGCTGTAAATATTTTTAATTAATTAATTAATTAATTAATTAT